TTCAGTACCAAGTATCTGCCAGACTGAGGAGACATTGCTGTAAAGAGGCTACTTCACCTCACTGGGTCAAGCAGTTGCTGTATTTTTACCTGAGTGGTTCTCAGTGCCACAGTGGAAAAAAACAATAGATTCTCCATGGCAGAAAAAGCAAGAGAGATCCCCAAATCCTACCTGCCAAGCAATTATCTTGCTGACTCCTCTGACTTAAATATTGTTACTTTGGATCCCTATTCCACAACCTTATACTTTACTCATTCTTCAAATTCCCAATCTTCTAGGCACTGAGAGGCTTGCACAAAGAGGTTTCCCCAACTGTTTGATTACGAAGATATTTCCCTCTTTATGCCTTTCTTTTTTATTTCCGCATTGCTTTTGAGAGAGAGAGAGGGAGGGAGAGAGAGAAAAAGAGAGAGAAGGGGGGAGAGAGAGAGAGAGAAACATCAATGTGAGAGAGACACGTCGACTGGTTGCCTCCCCCACGTGCCCCCACTAGGGCTGAGGATCAAGCCTGCAAACGAAGTATGTGCCCTTGATCAGAATTGAACCCGAGACCTTTCAGTCGGCTCAGGCTGACACTCTAAGCACTGAGCAAACCGGCTAGGGAAGTGCCTTTCTTTTTTTTAAATATATCTTTATTGATTTCAGAGAGGAAGGGAGAGGAAGAGAGCAAGAGAGAGAGAGAATTGAAACATTAATGATAAAAGAGTCATTATTGATCAGCTGCCTCCTGCATGCCCCCCGCTGGGGATCAAGCCCCCAACCCGGACATATCCCCTGACCAGGAATCGAACCTTGATCTCCTGGATCCTAGGTTGATGCTCAACTGCTAAGCCACACCGGGCCAGGCGGGATGTTCCTTTCTTAATAAGCTTAAAAAGAATAGCATTATGAGATGACACATAATTTGTACAGAAGTATCTTTTTCTTCTCCTTCTTTGACCCACATCCTCCATCTTATATATGGAAGAGAAAACATATAGCATGTAAACTGGTAGCAGCTATTTTTTTATTATGAATGGGAGCCAACCTTAGGATGAAGTTGACAATGTAAAGACTGAGCAAAGAGATAGAAAGAAGTGAGGTCTCTGGATAACATCTATTTAGCTGCTGAATCAAACCAACACTTAACCTAATAAACTGCTGGAATTCCAGTTATATTAGTTTTCTTGTTTAAGGCCATTTAACTGTTTTCTGTTACTTGCATCCAAACACATTCTAATATACCCAATAGCCAGAAAATATCTTTCCAAAATAACCCAAAATATATATCAAGCTAGTAAGACTCAAATACACACTCCACACATACAAGAACCTGTACTTAGCCCTATGGGGAATACATAAATGAATTAAGGATGGCATGTTGCGCCCGGCCGGGCGTGGCTCAGCGGTTGAGCGTCGACCTAGGATCCAGGCGATTGGGGTTCGATTCCCGGTCAGGGCACATGCCGGGTTGTGGGCGCGATCAATGACTCTCTCATCATTGATGTTTCTATCTCTCTCTCTCCCTCTCCTTTCCTCTCTCTGAAATCAATAAAGATATATTAAAAAAAAAAAAAAAAGAAATTTATAAAAAAAGGATGGCATGTTGCAATGGAAAGAGGATAGCCTTTGAAGTCAGATGAACCTGGGTCCAAACCCTACTTAGAGGAAGTTACCTAATTTCTCTAAGCCTTCATTTTCTCACCTATAAAATGGAGAAAATTTGACTAAAGAATTGAGAATTATGCTAAAATACAAAAGCACCAAGGATAGCACTTAACCCATAGTGGGTGTTTAATAACTGGTAGGTAGGATTTTTTAAATGAGATATGCCCGGCCGGGTGTGGCTCAGTGGTTGAGCGTCGACCTAGGATCCAGGTGATCGGGGTTCAATTCCCGGTCAGGGCACATGCCTGGATTGTGGGCTCGATCAATGACTCTGTCATCATTGATATTTCTGTCTCTCTCTCCCTCTCCTTTCCTCTCTCTGAAATCAATAAAGATATATTTAATAAATAAATAAATGAGATAGTCTTTACCCTCAACTAGGGTAGAAAAGGCAAATAATTACGATTTAATAATTGGACTATTTATAGGGTATGGAAGATTGTAACAATGATTCCAATTCTTCACCCCTTTGGCATGCTCCCAGTGTGGACTCAGGCATGTGACTTGCTTTGTCCAATGGGGTGTTGGCCAAGCAAATTTGAATATAAATAGAATCATGACAAGCACTTGTGCAAATTCGATGGCACACTTTTGCTATTCTGGTATTGTCTTAAAAAGGGCTTGCCGCCCGACTGGGCGTGGCTCAGCGGTTGAGCATCGACCCAGGATCCAGGAGATTGAGGTTCGATTCCCAGTCAGGGCACATGCCTGGGTTGTGGGCTGGATCCCCAGTCGGGGGCATGCAGGAGGCAGCCTATCAATGACTCTCTCATCATTGACGTTTCTCTCTCTCTCCCCCTCTCCCTTCCTCTCTCTGAAATCAATAAAGAGATATTAAAAAAAAA